GGCATGGCGGAGAGCGAGGCCGAGACCCCCAGCACCCCGGGGGAGTTCGAGAGCAAGTACTTCGAGTTCCACGGCGTGCGGCTGCCGCCCTTCTGCCGCGGGAAGATGGAGGAGATCGCCAACTTCCCAGTGCGGCCGAGCGACGTGTGGATCGTCACCTACCCCAAGTCTGGTGAGCCCCGCCGTCCGGCCCCCTGCCCGTCGCGCCCTGCTTTGCGCGCGGCCGCGTGGACGCCGGCAGGACCCGGGGCTGCCCGTCGGGGCGCGGGAGGGCTGGGTCAGGGTGGTCGCCGTCGTTGTGCCCATCCGGTCCCGGAACCCACAGGACGAGCCGGCGCGGGGGAGGGGTTGGGCAGCAGTTTGCAGTTGGGGAAACCAAGGCCGCAGACCTTCCTGCTGGACCCTGGGGCTGGACAGCGTCCGCAGGAAGGCGGGCCCAGGGCCGCCACCCATCCCTGCTGCTTCTCCCGTTACCTCGTTGGCTGTGTGACCTTGGATAGGTCACCTAACCTCTCTGATTCTGGATGCTTTCGAGCCATTGCTGAGCGCAGAATCCCGGTGGTCCTCTGGGAAGGGGCATAAGACGGCGTTCAGGCTGTTTAGTTACTTTATTTCCACCGTGGACAGGGCGGGGGGTCGGGACAGTCATGTCCGGATCACCGTGTGTGCCAGGGCCCGTGTCCAATGTGTGATGTCACCCAGACACCGCGCAGGACGCCTGCACGCACAGTTCCCAGCATTAAATAACGTCGTGTCCTGGAGTCCCCTGTAAGGGAGAGATGGCCATCCCTTCTGTCGTTCAGAGAGGAACGGGGCTTGCCCAAGGTCACACAGCTGGTGGGGACTAGAGCTGAGATTTAACGCACATCTTCCTGTTTCCAGGACCTAATGTGAGAGATGATTGTGTGCCAGGGCTGTGAGGCTGCCCGCCCCTCTTCTGAAGTTTTTTGGAAAAAGGGCTAGCTTTCCTGTTCTCCAGAAGCCCTAGTGGCGCAGTAGTTAAAGCTCTTGGCTGTGAACGGAAAGATGGGGCTGTTTGAACCCATTAGGCACTCTGCAGTCCGCTTCTGTAAAGCTTACAACCTTGGAAACCCTATGGGGCAGTTCCAATATGGGGGCATTTCCAGTACGGGGTTTCCTTTGTTGCCTGCCACTCCTTCCAGAGAGATGCCAGACCCAGAGTGTTCAGTATGTCTGCCGTGTTTTGTAAGGGGGCTGGTCTTAAGGTCACAGTGGTCCAGCAGTGGGGCAGGTTGCCAGACAAGCTGCACATGGTCGTCACAGCTGGGTAGGGTCCCAGGCACTGAGGGACAGGCCCGATGGTCATTCTCCCAGGATTGCGCCACCGTGTTTGGGGGTGCCACAGGCCCCCAGGTTTGTGAAGCTCACTGCAGAGAGGCTTGGCTGGGCCTACTGCAGCCTGGGGAGCCTGCTGGGCTGTCCTTGGGGGTGGGGGGATGGGCTCTGGACGCTCACCGTGGCTGGACTGGGGGAAAAAAAAAACAAACTCACTGCCATGGAGTCGATTCCGACTCATAGCGACCCCCTTTGGGTTTCCAAGGCGGTAGATTGCCTAGTCTTCTTTCCGCAGAGAGGCTGGTGGGTGTGAACTGCCGGCCTTCTGGTTAGCAGTCAAATGCCTTAGGCACTGTGCCACCAGAGCTCCTTCCCTGTGGCTGGGGACTTGTTTTTTCTCATGGCAGCCCCGGGAGGGAGGCACCGAGGCCCGTGGGGACGGATGAGTGTAGGAAGTGAGGTTTTGAGATTTCGGAGATAGTTGTGTGTCTAACAGGCAAGCTGTAAGATTGCCAGCTGGCCTTGGGGCTGTGCTGTGGAATGACACATTTGCAATTTGTTGCTACAAAATAGATGAATATTCCGCTAAGGGGAATAAATAAAAACTAAAAACAGCTCTGTCAGTTTAGGACAGCTTTGCCTCCAAATGAATGGTGGTTTTGAAAGCTGGATTTCAGAGCTCTTTGGTGTATTGGGATGTGTAGTTTCTGTATTTCCTCCCAGAAGCCCTGAGGGGCGCAACAGTGAAGCACTGACTACTGTCGGAAGGTTGGCGATTGGAACTCACCCAGCGGCTCTGTCAGAGACAAGGCCTGGTGATCACCTTCCACAGAGGTTGCAGCCTGGAGACCCCTGCAGGGCAGTTCGCCTCTGTGCCTTCGGGTCGCTGTGAGTCACCAAGCGCCACAGCAGCCCCGACAGCAGCATCACTGTTGCCTCCGTTGTACAGACGAGGAGAGGGAGGCTGGGAGGTTAGACGGACGGAGTGTGGCCGGGTCTGGGGGACTTGGAGCTTGTGATGCACCCTGGTGGAGCCTGGCCAGAGGCTTGCTTGGAGAGGCCCTGGGAGGTGGGGGCTGTTTCAGAGGGAGCCTTGCTCTGGGGGTCTGGCGGGGCTCTCACCGAGACCTCTTGGGTATCTTGATAGGGATGATGTGTTGGTTCCGAGGAAGTTTTCCAATGACCAGATACCACATCTTCTTTGTAAGTTGTGTTTTTTGGACAGACGTGCACACGCCCCCCCTTCCTCAGAGGAGTACGCACAGAGCTTCTTTGCTTGGTGACTGAGACCGCGGCGGTGGCCTCGGGACCCTCGTGCGCAGGCCCCTCCATCCTGGCCCGTTTCTCAGTCTGCCCCCTGCCCTCTCCTTTCCCCTTGGACACTGGGGGCTTGACCTGCCTGAGGCCAGCCTTGTTGGCGTGGTGTGTAAACCGAGAGCAGGTCGCGCTAGCAAGGGGCCGGCTAGCTGGACACTTAGAGGTTATAAAGGCCCTTGGTGTCCAGGGTCCCCAGGATTTCTCCCCAGAGCTCTGTGTAGTGGGACACAGCTTGTCTCCCCCTTCGAAGATGGGGGAACGGAGGTTCTGGAGGAAGGAGTGACTTACCGAGGCTCAAGTGCTGGGGCCAGGCTGGGTGGAGCCGACCGAGGGCTGAGGAATAGGGCCCACAAACCTGCCCTAAAGATCTTCTCTCCACTGGAGAAAGAGCCTCTGGAGGCACGTTGGGGGCAGCCGGTGGGCAGGAGGAGGAGGAGCGGGTCTGGCTCAGGGTCTTGGTCCTGTTTCCTCGCCCACGAAACCCAGACCTTAAACTGCACAGGAGCTGAGACTGCTGCCGGCTCTGGGGTCCTTGGGGGGGGGGTGTTGCCTGGAGCGCCAGCCAGTCCCCGTTTGGGGTGGGCTCTAGAATACTCTAGAAAGGTTTCCACCTGTACTTCCGAGGCCTTTTCTTGAGTCCTGTGTGCTGGCCTTTCACCAGTGTTCACCTGGGAGGAGCTCATCGCCTCTTGTTCAGAGGCCCAGAGAAAGTGGGGACTTGTTCAGAGTCACACAGCACCAGGTCTGGTCAGGACTTGCAGTCCCCAGGCCCACGATGCTCTGTTGCCTCTGGAAGGTCATGAGGGCAGGCCATCCTCTGGCACCAGGATAAGGGCCGACCCTGCCTCTTCAGGATTCTCAGGCCACCGAGGGACTTTGTCACTTTTGTGAGTTCTCCGCAAGTGGACCTCCAAACCCAAACCAAAGGCAGCTCCCTAAAAAAAATGCCAAACTCACTGCTGTCAAGTTGCTTCCGACTCATAGTGACCCCTCCTTGGGTTTCCGAGGTGCTATCTCTACAGAAGTAGATTGCCCAGTCTTCCTTCTGAGGAGTGGCTGGTGGGTTTGAACTGCCAGCCTTCTGGTTAGCAGTCAAGTGCCTTAGGCACTACGCCACCAGAGCCTCTGTCAGGTGGCCCAGTTCATGTTTTTCTTCCCTTCCCTCCTTCCTCTCCTCTGTTCCTCTTGTCCCCCCATCCCTCTGTCCCCACCCCCACGTGGCCAGTTGGTAGGACCCTTCTTGCTTGGGGGTGAAGAACCTGGCTTTGCAGTTGGAGGTCTTGGGCTTCAGTCCAGCTTTGCTGGGTACCAGCTGGGTGACCCTGGGCAGGGGACATCTCCTCTTCAGTTGGGGTTCCCACCTGGCCATGTGGGTAGGGGTGAGTAAAATGCTGGGAGAACTCCTGGCCCAGGACCAGACCCATGATGAGCACAAGAAAGGGGTTGTGTTGTCATGTTGGCTGTGACTTCCTGAGCGCCTGTTATGCCTAACCACTTTTCTAGGTGCTGGGATTCAGAGAGACGTCCTGTCTGGTCCCTGCCCTCCGGGAGCTCCCAGGCTGCGGGGGAAGAAGCATGATCAGTGCTGGAATTGGGGTACAGAGCCAGGACTAACAGATGTTACCTCCTCTGTCACGGCAGGGGAACTCGGGGTGTCTTGGCTCCTCAAGGAGGTCCTGATGAACTCATGGGTGTTCAGGGCCGGGGGGTTTCTCAGGTTGACAAGACAGGCCGGTGGTACAGGCCTTGTGTCTCTTCCGGTGCCTTTCCCCACGGCGACGCACCATGCTCCAGAATGCTTTTGCATACTTCTGTCGTTTGAGCTCAGTGATAGGTTGTCGTTTGAGCTCAGTGATAGGTTCGGACTGCACTACTATCCAACGCAGTAGCCACTAGCCAACTGTGGCTGTTTAAACTGGAGCGAATTAACACAGAGTAAGACGGGAAATGCAGTTCCTCGCGTGCGCTCACCACGCTCCAGGAGCTCAGCAGCCACCTTGGCCAGGGTCCGCCACCTCGGATGGTGGGGAAGTAGCCTCTGCCCATCTTCGTGGGGAGCTCTGCTGGACAGCGCCAGTTGAGGCTGTGGTCCAGGCTCTGGGAGCCCATTGTGCCCTCTGAAGAGGGCTGCTGTGTGTAGCGCTGTCCTTGTTCATAGTAATTCATGCTCATTGTCTATAGAGTACAGAGAGACTTCCCAAGACTGTTAAGTCAGCGTGTCTGCGGCAACATTGTGTGACATCACCGTTGTTCCATGCTGATTGCTTCTGTAGTAGGTTGCTGTACTGGCCAGTCTTCGAGGGGGACAGAGCCCCAAAGGCCCAGAGCACAGGCCTGAACATGCTGAAGCGCTCGTACCAGAGAGCCACCTCCCTGATTTTATTTTCCTTTTGTTTCCGACCAACCCTGGAGTGAAGTGACGTTCCCCTGTTCCTGCCTGGGCAGGAGGAGAGGAGCTGTGGTAGCACAGTGGTTCAGGTGTTTGCCTGCTGTCTTAGTTCTCCTGCTGTGACAGACATACCACAGGTGGGTGCCTTTAACAAACAGGAAATTATTCTT